CCCCCCCCCATTTTGCATTTTGAAATCCTCCCGATTTCTGAGGTCTAAAGGTTGGCAAGTATGGAGGAGGAGAGACAGACAGAACACTCCTTGCATGCGATCATGGTACTTTAATGTTAAATGCATAGAGTATATTTGCTTTACATCGTTTGAGTATGATTGACATTGCAAGTTGGTATTATTCAGAAGCAAAATAATAAAACATTTAAAAAAAAAATCAAAATTCAAAAAAATCAGCATGACGTCATAGGATCGCCGTAATTTAGAAATGAGATCGCATAGGTGTCTGAATCGAGATCACGATCTTTTTTCGATTAATCGTGCAGCACTACTGCACCGTAACATATTTTAAGACACTGATATATATGTTCACATATTTAAGTTAATATGGAAAATTTGTTGGTGAACAATTGCATATTATATTCACTGTACACATCCAGCCGACACTGAAACATTAGCATTTTTGTGTGTGTTTATGGACCATGTAATGGTGGATTAAGGTATACACTCCCTTGTTAAGCAATACTAACTAACTAAAGGTAAAATAAAATCTGTAAATTAAGTTATATATTGTAGTATGAAGTTTCCTTTCAAATATTAATGAAACTTTTTAAAAGTTATGTCGTAATAAGCCCTAGTAACACTGCTGCAGAATCAAACATGCTGACCTACAGCTCCTCTGAAAAAGCAGTCCATTGAGCAGGAGACGGGGCCTCAGAGATGGGTTCATCTCTTGCTGTGCCTGGGGAGCAGCAACGTCTATTTAAAGGCTCTGCTTCTCCTCAGGGACTTACAGCTGTAGAAAGGCTCACTAATAAGTCTGGGGATCTGTGAAACTGTTGCTATACACACACACAACCCTTCATTCATATATATCAAAGATGGTGTTTAAAGGGTTAACAGTTTTCTTTCTCTTCCAGCTGTTTTGTTCTGGTGCCTGCTCGACATTGTGCCAATTAAGAATGAAAAGGGAGACGTGGTGCTCTTTCTGGCTTCCTTTAAGGACACCACTGACACTAAAGCCAAAGCCATCCTAGGGGACAAGAAAGAAGGTCAGTGTGTAAATATTCATGTTTATGTATGTAGGATGTGGGTTGTTAATGTTTAAGCGATTCTAATCGTTGCTAAACAAGAGGATTGCACACAGGTTATACAAACAAACTTGTTTACCTCTTTGTTCAGCATATGGATTTTGGTAATATAAGGGCCATTGCAAACTACCACAGGACAGCGTTGGCACTTTTTATAGATACAAATAAATCCTAAGGCTCGATTGAAACATGACATTGTTGTTATTAACATTACACGAAGAGGCAGTTCAGCCTGGTTCTAGAGAGGTTGTACATGAGGAAACTATATACAAAGATTAATAAACAATTCAAACTTTTGAAAAGAGTATGAGAGAACAACAACCAACCTTAGACAACAACCGTAGAAGTTGAACCCAAAGATGAACAAAGCATGTGAAGCTTATACCTCTTGAATTTAAACATGAAGCCCCTCCTACAGACAAACCAAGTTAGTGCAAAGTTAAACCAATTACATTCAAAGTCAAATATCTTTGTAAAACAACAAAACACTTTCTAAATCATTATTCAAACTTTCCCATCACAAAAATATAATAAATATATATTGTTTTGAGTACTAAAACTATGAAAATCCCCCTGTGTGCTCCACTCATGGTACAGTCTAAGATACCTCCACTATAAATCCCATTGGAAGATTCCATTTCGTGTTTGACAGTGGGGACCCATGACCAGCAGGTAATGTGGATGTGAGCATTAGCAAACACATACTTAAACTAAACTAAAATATGTAATGGAATGGAATAAGACATCAATTAAGTAAGTGCTTAACATTGTGACTGCACAGTTTGCATATTGAAAATACTTGTGTTAGCATGCTAAAACAACATGTGCTTATACTACAGTATGCTAACATAACTTCGCCACAGAAGTGGGGGTAGATGAAGGTGCTGCAAAGTGCAAAAATGTGTTATGTAGACTTGGTAGTGGGTAGGAAATGTATTACTAAAGAAATAAATGTCATGATTTAAAGGGTTACAGTATAGACTTTTTTATTTCACCAAGACTTACCCTAACAGTAGAAACTGTTTTGAGTGCAGCAACAGAAAATGGATGTTGTATTGAAAAGAACAATTCATGTAGGACAAATACATGTGTTTTATATTACCATTTTATGATGCGATATGAACATTTTTGAGGTAGCAATACATATTTTTCAATATGGATTTGACGGCAGCAGGCAATTTGAGGGAGGATGATGGGCAATCCCTTCGCTCCTGTTAGCAAACGATCAATTTGCAACCGCCCGTGGGTTTACCTCCATACCCTAGATTATAAAGACACACCTTTCTGTTATCGGAGTTAATATTTGTTGTAATATTTGATTATATTTGAGAATTTGGTAATCTCTTTGTAGGTTACCCAGTGAAATGTCTTATTGTTCTATGAATGGTAGGAACAAAATGGGGATGAAGGTGTATTGTTGTTGTGCTGACTGCTATGATATCTTTGTTAGAACTTCACCTCGCTTTTTTGCCCTCCAGTATTGTATTGTCAATTATTTTTCGTCGCACAGAGCATCTAAAGGAAGCAAAGTTGCAAGCAATGTGCTCAAAATCAATTTCCTCAAAGCTTTACCTGAAGGTCAAAACCTAAGCAAAAGCCACCGTCAAAGCCTGACAGAAGGTCAGTGTGTGTTTGTTAAGTCAGCAAACCAGGCTCTCATCTCAGACCTGCCTCCTCTGGATATGCCTAATTACTCTCATTGAAAGAAGAGAAAACCGGAAGCAAGCAGCAAAGTTATTTTTGCCCATATAATGAAATGCTTTTCATAGAAAAAGGATGATGCAGCAGCATAGACTGTGAGTCTGCCCAGACCCCTAATTACGAGTCTGGGTCTGACAAGCTACTCTAAATGAGAATATGTGAATTTTTCGAAACGTATGCATTTTTATGACGTTCTCTGTGCATATTTGGAAAGGGGTGTACTCGTTTGTTTGTTTAAGTCAGTTAAATCTGGCTTGTGAAACATTGCAGCCATGAATGAAATAATTTAAATAATTTAAATGTGTGTCTTTGTATTACATAAATTCTCCTTTTTGGGACGATACATCAATTTAAATACATATTCTTTAATACTTTGTACCTTTTAATATTCCTCAGACAATCCTTTCGCACAGCTATTACAACTTTGAATTTGTATGTATTGTAAATGTGTTTGAATTTTTCATTAATTGTGTTTTACCCATTTTCTGTGTATGTTTCTTGTACACATTCTTTGTAACATTTGTTTCGAATGTTTTTTTGTTCTTTTGTTTTATTTTATAATATACAGTATTTGTTTCTTTGGAAACAAAATTGTTTTTCTTTGGAAAAGTTTGACGTCTTTGGTAAATGGCAATTGAGATAAAATGTCCAACAAAATTGAAATGTTTGGACTTGAATACATAAGGGACAAAAGAATAAACTTGCCATATATGTTTTTTTACTAAGGTTTGATTTTGCACCAAAGCAGATTCCTGGTTTTTAATTCAGAAAAGAGCATGTCATCATCAATGGAGCATTTCTATCCACACTGGGGAAGCCTTTGAAGGACGGACACACGCCTCAGATGTGACCCAGTTAGCTCCTGGTCACGACAACGTAGACAGTGTTAGCAAAAAGGGGGAAACCCAGTCTGTCTCACCTGTCTCCTTTTTCTGTCCTTTCCTCACCCCATTTTCTCTCCATAATCCCTGTTTCTCATCTATTCCAGCTGCTTTTACAGTAGACACCAATTCCCAACTCCGCTATCTGCCCTACATGGCTTCAGCCTTCCCCGTTTTACACAACACCCACCCCCTCCCCACCTATATCCCCCCTCTACCCCTATAAGAAACGCTATAAAAGTAGAGGGAAATTCATTAGATCTAAAAATAAGCATGTCTCTGTCTCTGTGCGCCTGCCGTGTCGCGTCCCCCAAGGCTGCTCTGTGTTATGGATGGACCCTGTCTGTTTGCGTCGTCTGGGGTCCACAGACACACACACACCCACACCAGGATGCACACACTTTCCAAAGGACACTCAAAAGCAGTTATCACTTCCATTCTCCAGCTTTGTTATTGCCATTATCCCCCCTCAAGCCAATGTGGCCTTAGTCCTTTCCTGTGGGTTCACAACAGAGAGAATGGGGCTCAGCAATAAAGTGCCTTCTCCCATTATCCATCTCCTCACTCTGAACACTTCACTCCTACACTATCTGCTTTATCTACAACTACAATACTCTTGGAAGAAATACACAAGCACACACGCACGCACGCACATTGCAATCTACCACAGGAAATCTACTAAACTTGACTGGCTCCAGTAGAAAGTTATTAAAGCTGGGAAATTGCAGTTTAGCTAGAAAAAGTGTTTACACAACAAAACATCAACTAATATGTATAGCTGAATAATGTAAGACCCAACAGGATACTTGACTTTTTAAAAAGCAACATGACAGTTTTGCTTTGAAATCCTGCAATTTACTCAGAAATGACATCCTTCCTGTTGAATATTCATGATTCCTCATTCAGAACCGAATGTTATGTATTTCATCAAGCTTAATGACTGGTTCACTCATCAGGAGTTAACATTGGGGGGTAAAGTATTGCAGGGGGGGATGTGTACTAAGCTTTGTGTGTTTGTGTGTGTTTACAGAGCGACGGCGCGGCAGGGTGAAAACAGGATCTGCATTCAGCTCGGCTCGTATGCGGGGAAACACGGTGCTCTACCACATCTCTGGTCACCTCCACAGCAGAGAGAAGGGCAAGATTAAACTCAACAAGGTATCATCTAACAACAGGGCAGGGTGTAAGGTCATACCAGGGTGTTCAAAAAGGATGTTTGAGGACTGTCATACAGGGAGTGAAAAGATCAATGCTGTTATTGAAGTGTAGTCGACACAATGGAAGTGCAGGGGGCAGAGCAGAAATACTGTGTCCAGGGTTTACAAAGTGAACAAAACATGTTGTACCACCTGATGCTCTTTATTAGGAACTGCAATAAATGAGAAATAACATATTTTCTTTGTAACATAAATGTAATCCCATCAGATGTTTTTTTTAAACTTAAGGATTAAAGAGAAAAACAGATATTAGGATTCCTTCGGACTGGGTGATATGGCCAACATATTCTATTCGGTTAAAAAAAATTACATATCTAATTATATGTATACATATATCACAATTTAGTATTTTTTTTTTCTGGTAATTCAGAAGACTCAAGGAATATAAATGATGACGTTGAAGTATCAGCTGACCCTATATGGTTCAACATCGATGTCATTTCATTAAGACATAATGGGTGTAGCTATAGTATTCTTTTTATGTAATTGTCTCCCACTTATTTTAAGTATAGCGCACCCTTGTGTTAAAACCACACACACAAACATGTAGCCATTGGAACTAGAGGCCAAAACAATATCTAATGTTATTGTTTACCACATATGCAACAGGTCATTTTGACAGACTGTCCTATTTTCTTACCTTGTCCAGAACGTGTTTGGGGACCCGCCGGCCCTGCCAGAGTACAAGGTAGCAGAGGCCAAGAAGTCCAAATGCATCTTACTTCACTACAGCACGTTCAAAGCTGCTTGGGATTGGCTGATTTTACTGGCCACGTTCTACGTTGCTGTGACGGTGCCTTACAACGTGTGTTTCATCGGGGACGACGACGACCTGACCCGCAGCACGACCGTCAGCGACATCGCCGTGGAGATACTCTTCATCATAGGTTAATTGCAGAATTACAATTTCTTTATATAGACTATTATCTAATTTAACGTTGATCTGTTATCGTAATAATCTGGATTCAATAACCAACACTGACTCTGTCTTTCTGCCAGACATTGTTTGTAATTTTCGCACGAGTTACGTCAGCAAGTCGGGCCAGGTGATCTTTGACGCTCGGCAGATCTGCATCCATTACCTGACCACATGGTTCATCATCGACCTGGTGGCCGCGTTGCCCTTTGACCTGCTCTATGCCTTCAAAGTCAGCGTGGTGAGTAGCTATGGCCCCCCTGGGTTTAACACGGAGCATATTTGGTGAGCAACAACACATTCAGATTGTGCATTGAAGTATTGAGGTATAGTATAGTATTGAAGAAAAATGTAAATCTTTGGGATGAATGGATTACCCCTATCCGTTCTTGGTTGCTTATAAAGTGCATCACCTCCAGCACATTTGACTTTTCATAATAGATTGTGATTCTGTGTATTGATTCCACATACTGTACAAGGACAGAGAAAACAATCAAATCTGTATCATTAAAACCAGTGTCTGTTCTGGTGGAGACTCACACATGGTCCCCTTAGGAATACTTGAATGGAGGAAGAATCAAAGATCTGCAGCAATTAGGCGGACGTTCTTGTCTCGTCCCTGGCTGAGTGATTTCACCCAATGGAAGCACTACTTCACAATAGGGAGGTTTTTATTTGTGGCTTATGGCTGGTTTTTGCTTTCTGTGTTTAAAGAAAGATATGGTGTTAACAGGCCAATATACAACATTGGATTTCATGCAATTGATATATATTTCAAATTGTTTATTGGAATCCCCATTAGCTCATCTTTCTTACATGGATGAGTGTAAAAGTGTATATATTTACAAGTCAACACTACTTACGCACAACCCACAATTACATTAGCTTTACAATACACTGCAGTTATCAACATTAGATATACCGAAATGTAATTGGACACGATTTAATAGATGTATACAACATTAGGCACAACACACACAGATAATTACAGATGGAAATAAGTGTTGTAGTACTTATTTACTTTGTACTTATCTGTATCTGTATGCTATTTAATCAGTGAAAGACTAAAATTAACAAAGTCTCTTTTTCAAAATAAGGCTCACAACAATCATGACAACACAAAAAAGGAAGTGACACATTGCTTGATATTTGACAGAGTTCATTAGATTAAATGTGTTCGAATTCTAGGAAACAATAACTTCCCTGTTGTAAAATATATCAATGAGTAAAGTGACATTTATGTAGTGTATGTGCTTTGAATCGATAGAACAACAGATATGAAAATAGCAATCGATATTGTTAGTGCTGCTCCAGGCAAAGCTTCCTGTTTGGTTTCAGACTCTATTCATGGAAAGACCACATGCCAGTAGGTGCAGATTTGGGTAAAGGGCCAGTGGGCCACATGTTCCCCTGCCGCCGCCTGGCAGAGTGGGAGGACCCGGTTCGTTTCTGATGTCTCCTCTAAGGACGGAGCATTCAGGCTGATGTCCCCTTTGAGGACATCATTTACCAAAATAAGCCAAGGGGCCTCAGCACGGCGTCTCCCTGCTGTTCCTCTACCTTTTACTTTTTGTTGTGTCCCATTTCTGCTTCTCCTATCAGCTGAACCCATTTAAACCCTTCCTAAACGTTTTGCCAGGTTTCATTTTTTGCAAGTGAATTTATTTTACGAGGGATTTCAACAAAACCTTTTTTCACCTGTTTTAAAGATATAAAAAGAGGAACTTAGAGAAAGATTATTCTGGTGTAACCTTAGAAACTGGTCACCACATTTTGTTTCTCATTTCCATAGTACAATATATTCTTTATTTCAGTTCAAGTTTTCCCAATTACTATGATTATCCCTTCACCTGATCTCAAGTTTTTCCTATTTTTGGAGAAGTACATTTTGACTGTCTCTCTATACTTCCTGTCTACTTCTTAAGTTTTAAATAACTGGTTAATCATCCATATCTCGTAATTTGAAGACACAAATAATATTGAAAGAGTGGTCAGTAATAAGATAATGCAAGTGTAACCGGTGTCGTTAAGCGTTCTCTGCGTTGTGTTTTGCGTTGTTCATGGATGACCCGAGCCAGCATACAGTTTTGACGATCTCCGTTTTATTACTGACAATCTGACAAAATATATAACAATCATCCTTATTTTAGCTTTCCCTCACAGTGACTCCTCTCACGTGGAACACTTACAAAAAGGGAAGAGGAAACGTGAGGGGCACAATATATAGGGGGGGGGGGGGAGTCCTCAAACAATAACCTCTCTGAGCACAGCCCGACCACCACTTCAGAGGTTCCGCCCACTGATCTCCGACCTTGTCAGGTATTGAACATTCAATCAAATGAAGAACACAGAATTACTTAATATAAAACACAGAATTTGTGTGATTATACAAATAAACCCCACTGCATATTTACAACTGTTACACAAGCACTAGACCCCTGCAGTGATATAATATCAAAAACAGCAATTGTTTCGCTATGCTTAACTGCTACAGTTATTGTTAAAGCTCCTGGGCCTTGAGAACTATAGGAAAACATTGTCATGCATCCTTATTTGCTCGATACCACTCCATCAATAAAATACATGATCAGTGGCTTGGATGTGATTGGTTTGTCTAAGAGCGAGGCTGCAGGGGGAGAAATAATGAGCATTTCTGTAAAGTTATTATTGCATTTATGTTAAAAAGCTGAGGGCAAGTAAGTTAATCAAGAACTTCAATGTAAACGTCACACCTGATCAGAGGAGGAAATGCGAGTGTCAGAGTTGGGATTGAAGTGGAAAAGTGGAAGGGGAAAGTAGAAAGAGGTATTGTTGGGTACACTGCTTACACTGCTCGTGGAGCTGAGAAGAAAGGGGCGTGGCGCAGCCTGCTCTCTCCATAGGTGGGATGCCGGATGGTGATAGATGGTGGAGAGGAGATGGAGCTTCTCCCCAGGGCTCGGCAGGAGGCTTCATTACCCCTCATGCTGCACCACTTCCATATTTCTCACAGCAAGAGTGTGCAGGAACCGCCATAAAACACCAGAGACGGAGAGAGAGGATCTGACTGTCCTCACATTGCCTCCTTCTACAGTAGCTTTGTTCAAACGCTCAGATTGTTTAAACATCTCTCTTAACACACACACACACACACACACACACACACACACACACACACACACACACACACACACACACACACACACATCTATTATTGACGAGGATGTAGGACAAGGAGGGTGTTTGTCACCTTTTTATTGGGTATATGTTGCGTGTGTGTGTGTGTGTGTGTGTGTGTGTGTGTGTGTGTGTGTGTGTGTGTGTGTGTGTGTGCGTGTGTGTGTGTGTGTGTGTGTGTGTATGTGCCTGCCTGCCTGCCTGCCTGCCTGCCTGCCTGAGGAGAGGTCCTCAATGGATGACCTTCACATCACATCAACAGCACACGTGGTTAAGGTGTGAAAGGGAACATTTGGGGGGATCATTAAAGTGTAAGTCAGTCGAGGGGAGTGCAGCAAAAAGCTTAGATATGTTATTGTGCGCAAAGACAGAAGATGGAGATGCTGGGGTAGAGAAATACTGAGGATTGGAGATGAATTAACAAAACAAACACACCTTTGACCTAGCACCTGATTGCTCCATTTGGTCATTTTATAATCAAGTACTCCTTCATGAAATGAGTTTCATATGGGTCATATTGTGGATTTTTGCAAGCAATTGTCAAATTCTAATTTTAGAATCTGAGAGAATTTGAACAGCCTCTAATTTTGGAGAGACCATTAAGCACCGTTTCGAGCTTTTTATCACGTGTGTGTGTGTGTGTGTGTGTGTGTGTGTGT